AGAGCCCAGATGGAAGGGTTGGCCAGGGCCAGAGAAGAGATCCTCTGTCTCTGGGAGGGGAGGCAGGTGTGGGGGAGGGGAGGCAGGTGTGGTGCAGGGCAGGCAGTGGATGTGGGGGTGGGAAGATGAGGGAGTTGCCTGCTGAGTGCTGCTTTAATTTCAGTGAAGTTTAAGGCAAAGGCTGTAGCTGAGGGAGTGGGAAGGAATGGTGAGTAGGAAGTTTGAAGAGTTAAGAGATATAGAAACAGGGCCCAGTTTCCTTCAGCTCCCACAGCCCCTTTCGCCACTGCTTGGGAGAGTAGTGCCAGGTCTGGCTGCAGTGTTTGTCCCTCTTTCCCCACCCAAAGCTCCTGGCCAGAGCTCACTGGAGACAAGGAGCGGGGCTCTGAGACCTCGTCCTTCGGCCCTTCATAAGTGACTGAGCATGGTGAGTACACTCGGCCCACCTCTTCCACACCCACCTGCCCTATTCCTTTTCCCTCTCCTTTTAGGTGCTAGACAGGTGAGGCAGCTGTGACAAACAGGCTCAAGCCATGTAGTGGCGTAAAAGGCAACTAGTATTTATTCAGGGCCACCAGGTAGAGGCGCTTCATCCTGTTTTGTTTCCCACAAGCCCCATGGTCATGCAGAGCCAGCGGTAGAGTCAGGGCTCAATCCTCTCTGATGACAAGCCTCCACCCTGTCCTTTCCACTGTCCGCTTAGCCTCCCTTGGTGGAAGGCAGACGTGACCTCTTTCCCAGAGAGTCAAAGACCCCCTTCTTCCAGCCTCTAGTCCTTGTCCTACCTCTGAATTGCCACTTCTATTTCTATGACTCCTCAGAGCCACTTGAGAACACATGCTGAGGCCTCTTACAGACTTCCTCTTCCTTCAGGAGCCGCCAGGCCCCTGTGCCAACCCAGCTGAAAAACAATAGCCATGCTGCCCAGCTGGGGCCAGCAGCTCAAAACCACAGGCAAGACATTCATTTGTTGTGTCCACGCAGAGGATGCGACCTCACAGAGGATGCCTGCAATACTGTCGCCACACAGCTCTCCAGCCCACCTCCCACCTCTCCTGTGACCACACCCCTTCTCATACTTTTGTGCCTCTTCGAGTGCTCCCACTGCCTGCAATTCCTTATCTTTGACCCCCAACTGTCTGCCTAACTCCCCTTTCTCCAAAGTCTGCTGGAGCATCCTTTCTCTTGGCAAGCCCTTCTTGACCACCTGCTGAAGTACATATCTCAGAGCATTAGCCCTGCTGTCCCCGAACCCCAACTCCTGCAGGGTACCTAGGTCTCGCCTTTGTGACCTCAGCATGCAGTGCTTGCTTCCTAGTAGGTGCTAGACACACACATTCATTGCTTTTGAAGGTACTTAAGACACTAGGAAAGAGAGATTGGGCTTGCTGGAGAGATGAGTAGGAGTCCTGGTGAGGACTAAGCAGGTTTATCGGTGGAAAATAGGTGGACTTTTAGGGATAGACTAGATTATGTTGCAAACCTCAACGACTTAAAACAAAGGTTGATTTCTCACCAAAGCTACACGGCCCTTGTGGGCCAGCAGGGGGCTCTGCTCATGACGGTCACTCCGGCCCTCAGCCCGCAGTAGCAGCAGCTACCACGTCTGGTAGAGCCACACTGTATGGCGGGAGCAGGTCTTGCATCAGCAATTAAGTACTTTGGCTGGGAAATCACATGGCCCCACCCAATCGCAGGGTGCCAAGGACGTGCAGGTCTACTGTGTGCCAGCAGGTGGGGAGCTGGGACTCCTGGGTGGAGAGGAGGAGGATCTCAGGGACATTCCTCCGGGTTCTGCTGTGACAAGCAGCAGGCAGCACCTTTGGGAGGGCCCAGCGGCAGCACCCCTGGTTATCAGCAGGAGGTACTTTTCGACTGGGCTCCTGTTCTGGTGTCGCGGTGCTAGGGGGAGGGGCTGCCAGAGGAAACCACCAGGTGTGGCCATGGGAAAGTCCCTCCAACATTCTATAGAAACATGGAATTTCCTGCTTTTAACCATTTCTTATCCGACTGCCATCTCGGAGCTGACCAGAGCAGGACAGACATTGGCAGCTCCCTAGGAAATTTCATCTGGGGCATTGAGTTCTGGCTGGGAAGCTGGCATGTCTGGGGCTCGATGCCCTCAATGCCAGTCTGTAAAGTGCTCTCCAGTCTCCCAAGCATTTCCAAATACATTGTTCCATGTCATCCACAAAACCAACAGTAAATGTTACTGTCCTCATGCCTCGGATGAGAAAACTGTCTAGGAGGGGTTGTGTGCTGTGTTCAAGGTCACGCTGGAGGGCACTACGTTGGCCTCAGTGCTTGCTTGCTCTTTGGGTGCTGCAGGCTCACTGGGAAGATGAGTCAGACCCACCTTCTCCGAGGAGGGGCTAGGCACAGGTTCTGGACCTCCCTGGGGCTTCTGGGTGTGGGAACTCGGTCTTCCCAGGCAGTTCCCCACTTGGTTAACTTGCCCAACCTGCTCTATTGAGCGTGGGCCCAGCCCTAAACTTCCCTGCTCCTGTGAACTGCAGGAGATGCCCAAACAGCACCCGGGGGCCTGCCACAGCTGCCCAGCGTCACTCCCTGGCCTCTTTGTGGCTCAGACTCCTTTGTCCTATCGCTTCCACTTGGGAACTCAGAGCATCTTCTTTCTTCTTCCTGCCAAAGTGGCAGCAGTGGCTCAGCTGCCTGTCTCTTTAAGAGAGAGAAAGAACGAAATCAGGAAGTGTGAGAGAGCTGCTAGCCGCTGGGAGGCAGCTGAGTGTTCACAGGGAGGCAGGGGGGCAACCCTTAGCTCTCAGCTCTCCTAGCTTCTCAGGTGGCACTCAGTCACTTCCACTGGTCCAGTCTTTGGGTCCTCGGGGCCCGTAACCACGAGCATGTTATGGGCACTGACCATGGATGACAGCGAGCCCTGAAGGCTCTGGGGGTGCCACCCAATCCCACAAGCCTGCATGCCCCGCAGCCGAGATGGGGTGAGTGTGCAGGGTCCCTGGGGGAGGGCGTATAGGGGAGCCCAAGGAGGGTGGGGCAGCTGCAGGGTGGCACTCGACAGAGTGCACGGTGCTGGTGTGTGGGCAGTGGCTCTCCCGGCCCTATGTCCCCTCTCTGTGTCTGTCTCCCACTGCTGGGGGCCCTGGCAGTGCTCCATCGCTGGCGGTCACTGTTTGCAAAGGACTGCTTGGAGGCCAGTGAGAGGAAGGGAGGACTGTGGCACAGAGGAGAGATGCCATCTGCCTACAACGCTCCCTTCCCGGCTCCGCTTCTCAACACCCTGAAGCCAAGTTCAGCTCTGTCTCCACACTTTTCTCCTGCCTGGTTTCTGGTGCCTGCCCTCACCTCTCCTGGGGGCCTTCTCCCTAGCCCAGTCCTGGGATGGAAGTGCCCAGGAAAGCCTCCTGGAGCAGCTGGGGAATAGGGCTGGAAACCCCCAGCCCTGTGGGGGAGGGTGACAAACAGGAAAGGGTTAAAGGGCTGGGGCCAGTGGCCTTTGATGGAGGCTGAGAATCAAGCAGCACTGAGGGGTGCCTCTCATCCGCCCTCTTCTTTCCGGTGTAGCTCAACTCCTGGACTTGCTACAGACAGAAAACATAACACACACTTGACAGAGAGAGTCTCTGCCTGATCCAGGGCTGCTCCAAGCACAGGGTAAGTGCATTTGGAGCCCCGAGGAGGAGAAGGAAGGAGGGGAGGTGGTAGGTGGGGCAGCTGGCTCCCAAGCTTCACCACCCACCCGTCTGCATCCAACCACCACTAAAAGAGAGGGAGCTCTGCCATGTACCAGGCGCTGTGGCAGGGCCACAGTCCATGCGCGGGTGACTGGAAGTCCTGCCAATCAGCTCCTAGGCACATCTCTGCAGGGCCATGAGCAGAACTCAGGGCCTACAGCCAGCTAGGCCTCTGAAACCTTGATTTCAGTGTGCTCTGCCCACTTCATGCCCCCAGACCCCTAGCTGATTCTTCCTCAGCCTGGTGGGGATGGGGGGGTGGGGTGAGGTGGGGTAGGGACCTGACCAGCTCATTCAAGCTGAGCTATTGCATTGTCTTCAGAGAGCCCAAGACACCGCAGTTGCTTCTGCAAAACGATGCAAACATTTATGCATTTTATGAAACTAGGAAATGATCACTGAAGTGGACTCTGGCTCAAGGAATTGACATTACTGAGAGAGGCATCGAGTCTAGCTTCTGAGGCTCCACTCTGGAGCCAATTGCTTTAGAGGAACTGGCTTTTGGAGAGAAGAGGATAGAGGCAAAGATAGGGAACAAAGTTATGGAGGGTTTCAGATCCCTCCCAGGACTCCTAAGCCCTTGTATTTGATGGTCTCCTGCATTCCCCACCCCCTACACACACGCATGCGCTCTGCAGCCGCGCCGGTTCCTCTGCACGCTGCCCTAGCCATGCCGCCGTCTGGCACAGCTGGCAGCTCACAGCAGCAGGAAGTGGTGGACCCAGGCGAGTGGGTGGGGAGGGGCTCCAGGCTCGTGTTGCAATCCTGGAGATTTGTAGTGGTGTGGTTGACGCCGCCTGACTCGGGCCCCTTCCTTCGAGTACATTTCTGCTTCCTGGGACTATCCCAGGCCTGGATGCCAAAACCCAGAATTCTCAGTGCCTAGGAGAGGCAACAGAGGAAGGGGTTCGTTTGGAAAAGGGTTGGAGGGGACCTGGGGAGTAGGGACAAAGTAGGATGTCCTGTGGTGGGATAGGCACAGGCTGTGAGCTGAAGGCCTGGTGGCGGTGCCTCCTTTTGCAGAAGTTACTTAAACTTTCTTTGTGTCATGCTTCCCCTGCCCTCTTGCCTCTAGAATGGCCACTTGGAGCCCTTCATGGGATGGTCTTGGGCATAGCTACTGGTCAGGCCACCAAGATCCATCCCAGGCCAGTGATGGAATCCTGGACCCCAATATGTTCTTCTAGGCAGAAGGTGGCTGGCCAGCCAAAGGCAGGAGATGCAGAGCACCGTCAATTATCTGTGGCACACGGACGACCTGCTGGGGCAGGGAGCCACTGCCAGTGTGTACAAGGCTCGGAACAAGGTAGGGTGCGGCCCTGGCCGGGCTCCGCCCAGCGCACCACAACCCCCTTACACCCGGAAAGTTCTTAGCCTGGGTCAGTCCCCAGTGGGCATCCAGGGTTGTGTGTGGCTAGGCAGAGGCCTCTGGTCTTTGCTCTGTACACTGTGGGGTAGGAGGACACGGGGTTTGAGCAGAGGTATGGGGGGCTGAAAAGGGCTCCACAGGATGGTGCTTCTGTCAGGCATGGTTGAGGACTGGAGAGAAGGAGACGAAGACACCAAGCCAACATCTAGGGAGGTGGCCGCGAATCTAGGAACAGCAGAGGTGGGAAGCAGACCTTGTCTGGGTTTTCCTGCCTTCGTGGCGGAGCTGTGCTGAATACGTGGAACACACCGAGCTATCTCGTCTGGAGAGCGAAGCCAGGGAGATCAGGCTCCCGGCCCAGCTCCGCTGCTCACACCAGGGAGTGTTGGCTGCTGTTGTCATTACTGTCAACAGTAATAGTAACACCAAAGCATCCCCTGCAAGGTATCACGGGTGACAAGCCTTCGTCATCTTTCAGTGCTGGATGGACTGTTTGCCCTTGGTGCAGGGGAAGGAGCTCAGGGTGACAAGGAGCCCACATTCCTATGCAGGCTCTTTGCTCATTTCTGATGTTAGGCTGGCAGGAGAGGCTGGATGGAGGCCTGGGGGTGGTGCACCCCAGCTCAGGGTGAGACTTCTATTCTCCCCACGGCAGAAATCTGGGGAGCTGGTTGCTGTGAAGGTCTTCAACACCGCCAGCTACTTGCGACCCCGGGAGGTGCAGGTGAGGGAGTTTGAGGTGCTGCGGAAGCTGAACCACCAGAACATCGTCAAGCTCTTCGCTGTGGAGGAGACGGTGGGTCCAGTGCTTGGTCAGAGGATGGTCTTGTCCTTCACCCTCACGGGCTGGGGAGAGTCCGGTCACATACTAATAGAGACTTGGTCACATGCTGATCAGCAGGGCAGCCAGAGCAGCAACCCATAGAATGAAGAACGCCAGGGCTTGGGCCAGTGTGGGAAAGTAAAAATGGGAAGTAGGGCCTAATCGAAGAGGACTTCCTGGAAAAGGCGACCTCGGTCTCAGGTGTATGAGATCAGCGTGAGGCCAAGGAGCGATGGCCAGGTCAGAAGCTAGGACCCAGAGAGGGCTTTTGGCTTTAGGCTGAGCCACCTCCTCGTGAGAAGGGGAGGAGACACACCTTCCTCCCTGTGCCGCCCTCTGTCCCACCCGCAGGGGGCCAGCCGGCAGAAGGTGCTGGTGATGGAGTACTGCTCCAGTGGGAGCCTGCTGAGTGTGCTCGAGAGCCCCGAGAACGCCTTCGGGCTGCCGGAGGAGGAGTTCCTGGTGGTGTTGCGCTGTGTGGGTGAGTTTCTCCCCAACCCATTGGGGGGACCTCTCCCTGCCGGTGCTTCTGACCAGCCACAGGCCTGGCCCTCAGGCGGAGGCAAAGCCCCAGAGGGGTGTGGTGCTTCTGAAACAAGTATCCAAACACAGGAGACCATTCTGAACCCAAGAGGCTCTCCATTCAGACCTGGGACAGACAATGATGAATGGACAGAACCCAATGTCTGACTTCTGCTGACTGGCAGTTTAAAACTACAACTTAAAAATACAATTTAAAACAGGTCGTACACCAGTATTCACAGCAGCATCATTCACAATAGGTGAAAACAACCCAGACATCACAGATGAATAATACAGAAACAAAATGCGGTCTGTACAGACACTGGAATACTATTCAGCCCTAAAGAGGAATGGAATTGTGACTCACACTGAGATGTGGATGAGCCTGGAAGATATGAAGCAAAGGGAAATAAACCAGACACACAGACACCGCATGATTTCACTTCTGGGAGGGGCCTAGAGTAGTCAAGGCCATAGAAACAGAAAGTAGAAGTAGGGTTGCCAGGGGCTGGGGGAGGGGGAATGGAAAGCGATCGTTTAATAGGTGGACTTTCTGTTTGGGAGGCTGACGAAGTTCTGGAGATGGATCCAGGTGATGGTTGTGTGACAGCGTTAATGTTTTTGATGCCACCGAACTGTACACTTAAAATAGTTAAAATGGCAAACTTTATGTTAGGTATACTTTCAAAATTTAAAAAGTAAAAAATAATAAAATAGACAGGGAGGGAGTGTCATCTTCGGGGAGCCAGAGCCACCATTTCTCTGTTCCTCAGAGGCTCCCCATGGACCCTCCACACCCATGCCCTCAGGACTCCTCCGTCACCCCTTGCCCGCCTCCGTTCTGCTTTTCCTGTGGCCCTGTCAGCCCGTGGGGACTCTCTCTGAACCCAAGCTGGAGCCACCAACAGCCCTCCCTCACTCCGCAGTGGCTGGCATGAACCACCTGAGGGAGAATGGCATCGTCCACCGGGACATCAAGCCAGGGAACATCATGCGCCTCCTGGGGGAGGAGGGGCAGAGCATCTACAAGCTGACGGACTTCGGGGCCGCCCGGGAGCTGGATGACGATGAGAAGTTCATCTCAGTCTACGGGACTGAGGAGTACCTGGTGAGTGGCATGGTGGGGACCTGCTGCCCCAGGCAGAGTGCCTCTCCTGCATGCCGCTGGTTGCCCCTCCCCTTTTGAAAGCCTCGGTCCCATCCCTCTGCATCTGGCAGGGTTAGATCTCACCCTCTACACACCAACCAGAAGAGTTCGTTCTGTCCTCTAAGATGAAAAAGGCAATGCTGCAGCCTGCCCCGGCCTCCCCGTCCCACCTGCCCCGGCCTCCCCGTC